TTAAATGACAGCGTCTCTGATCAAGAGGTCTTGGCCGATTTGCCTAATTTTCAGCTATTTCGAAAGGATCGAAAAGATAAGAAGGGAGGAGGAGCTCTTATCGCCATAAACCAAAAAATGACCTGCTCGTTAGTTAATCTGTCATCTGACCTTGAAATGATTTGGATTCTTTGTTCTGCTAAGCCCCAGTCAGTATTACTTGACGTCTGCTACAGGCCCTTGAATAGCTGTCCCGACTTTTCTAATAACCTTAACGACGTCTTAAACGAAGTTACAAGAAAGTATCCCAACGCCCCCGTAGTTTTGTCCGGTGATTTTAATTTTTCGGGTATTAACTGGCTTAACCAAACCATTCCGTCACAGGCACAAGGCGAAGCTGGGGCTTTCCTGGACGTTTGTTTAAATTTTAACCTTTCACAAATGGTAACTGCACCAACGCGGGTAACACAAGAGTGTGAAAATATTTTGGACCTAATACTAACCAGTCACCCAGATGACATGGTCTCTATTACTTATCTCCCCGAATTAAGTGGCCATAAGGTCATCCATACCGAATTTGCATTTAAACCGTTAATTTGTCAAAACACCCAGAAAACCATTCGGTTGTACGACAAGGGCAATTATGAAGCAATAAATTTGGTGCTTAACGCATTCTTATCCAGTTTAGAAACTACTTTCTTTTCCCGGTCCGTCAAAGAAAACTGGACACTGTTTAAGGACAAGGTCAATGAATTGACTGACAGGTTTATTTCGAAATCCCGCTTCCGCGCAAACTGCCAAAAGCCATGGTTCTCTAAATCTCTGAAAAGATTAGAAAACAAGAAAAAACGGCTGCTTAGATTAGCAAAAAGACTAGAAGACTCGCAAAAGTGGCAGAAATACTACGCAGCTGAAAAAGCTTATATATGCGCAGTTCAAGATGCAAAGAATTATTTTTTCAACGTTGACTTACCAAGCATGCTGACTAACAACCGAAAAAAATTTTGGCAGGTATTGAACCCCCCGCATACTGCCCCAATTGCTCTTACCAGTGAATCGGGTCACATATTCACAGATGATCAATGCGCTAACATCTTCAACACCGCTTTCTCATCCGTGTTTACCAAAGAAAGTAATGTGTCATTTACAGTACCACCCACTATTATAGAATGTGCTATGCCACCGGTATTGTTCACTGCTAATGGAATTATGTGCTTAATCGACAAATTAAAACTTTCCTCTTCTTCTGGTATTGACGAAATCAACTCCAAATTCCTTAAGAACACAAAATATATTTGTGTATCTTTTCTATGCTTGCTCTTCTCAGTCACTTTTAACAGAACGCTTACCAGATGACTGGAAGAACGGGAAGGTCGTTCCAATCTTCAAATCGGGAAACAAAAACTCGCCATTAAACTATCGTCCCATATCTTTAACCAGCGTACCCTGTAAAATCATGGAACATGTCATCTACACGCATATCATAGACTTTCTTGATTCAAACAGCTTTTTTCATCCAGCACAACATGGGTTCCGCAGAGGTTTCTCTTGTGAAACGCAACTGGCCTAATTTGTTCACGATTTGCATACTAACCTGGACTGTAACTTACAAACCGATGCTATATTCTTAGATTTTTCCAAAGCGTTCAACAAAGTACCCCATTCTCGACTGTTACTAAAACTTTCCCAGTTAAATCTTCACCTGAACATGCTAAATTGGATCAGAGAATTCCTTACAAACCGCTCCCAGTCTGTTAATATCAACAACCGTACCTCTAATCCTCTTTCAGTAACGTCCGGAGTACCCCAGGGTTCCGTTCTTGGTTCCCCTTTATTCCTTATATACATAAATGACTTGCCTTCAAACCTAAGCTCTAAAACCCACCTGTTTGCTGATGACTGCGTTATATATGACACTGTTACTGACACTTCAAAACAGTCATCCTTACAAGCCAACCTAAACTGCCTCCAGGAATGGTGTGAGCGCTGGCTCATGGAACTTAACCCGAGTAAATGTAAAGTCGTTTCATTCCATCGCCTCCACATGCCGCTTGTGTATCCGTACGCAGTTAATGCCATCCCGCTAGAAAATGTTCAGTCATACAAGTATTTGGGCGTCACTCTTTGTAGTGATCATTCATGGAACATACACATCACTAATATCATTTCATCTGCAAACAAAACACTGGGTTTCCTTAAACGCCATTTACGCCTCGCTCCACAACACGTAAAATTACAAGCATACAAATCCATTGTTCGACCTAAACTAGAATACGCATCGCCAATTTGGGACCCTCGACAATCTTATCTTACACATGCTATCGAATCGCTTCAAAAGCGGGCCGCTAGATTTATTCACTGTTCACACTCTTCAACTGTCAGCGTATCTGGATTGAAAGCAGAATCTGGTTCACCAGATCTAGAACTTCGCCGTTGTATTGCCAGCCTGTCATTGTTCCACAAACTTTTTTATAGTCTCTTGCATGCCCCACCTTATATCGTTCCCGCAACACGCATATCTCTCCGCATGAGCCATTTGCTTCAAGTTGCTCGGCCACGCTCCCGGACTTCTACTTTTTCTGCCTCGTTTTTTCCACGTACCGCACCAGACTGGAACGGCCTTCCCAGTGAAATTGCAACCATTCTCTGCCCATCATCGTTCATAGAAAATATCAATAATCACTTTTTATGTTAAATATTTGGCTTCTATGTTTTGTGTTTATAATTACCCACCCCTTATGTAATACCCCCTCGCGGGCCTTTAAGGAAATAAAATGAAATGAAATGTAACCTTGTGAATGTAATCACATACTGTGCTTTTTACGCTGGTATACTCGGGGAAAACTTTCTGTGGCAATGAAGGGAAGGCTATGGAGCCAAAGTGGGCATATCGCTGTAGAATGTAGCGCCACAAATGTGTTTTGGTTTTCCACGTGATAGTAATAAACATCATTTTCTACTTTATGCGTTTATCAAGAGACGCTGCATGCACCATGGTGGCATTATTATTTCTTGTTGCTTTCTGAAGCGACATTTCACATTTTTACGCATCTGAAAACATCGCACTTTTTCGTGCATGTCACAGTCAGAATGGCGTCTTTGTCTTTAGGTGAGCGCGCGTTGCCCTCCAGCTGTTCCGTGAACTCGCCAATGGAACTTGTGTTGAATTTATTTCACAAATGACCCTGTAACCAGATGTATTAAGTTGTCCAGTGGGATTATTTGAACACGGCCGTCATTTAAAATGCGAGCCGACCCAGACTACTTCGCGGGGAGTACAGGAGCAGTAGCTTTGCTCACGTAGCTTTCCATTCATTGCCACAGAAAGTTGTTCCAAAGTATAGTCGGCTGTATATGTTTATTGGTCGAGTATCTGGACTGGCCACAGAGACCTGACGTTATCGTAGTCTTTGCTTTGAGTTTTGCGAGAACAAGCATGTCTTTAAAGTTCGTGTTGCGCCTGTAGGTGACCTTAGGCATTTCGGGAAAGATTTTCTTGACTTTCTGGTTGGTTTTTAGAATTGGATAGCATTTTGTTAGGATGTTGGTTATGTTAAGAAGTGCATTAGAAAACCTAGCGTTGTTGGGATTTCAGAGCTTTGTTGGAGTGCTTCATTGCCGTCCAATTCCAGTGCGTCCATATAGGCTTTGTCGACGAATGTGTTAGGATGGTTTCTGTCTGATAGTGTTCCTTTTAGGGTGGTAAGCCTGTTTGCATAATTCTCGTTTCCTTTGCATATGTGGCGTAACGTTGCCAGATTCTTATAAATGCCCTGTTTACAGTGTCTCGGGTGGTGGCTTCCATAATGTGGGTATTGTTGCTTGTCAAATGGTTTTTTATACAGTTGTCTTTAGTACGCCATTTTTGAGATATATGGTCATTTCATATGGTCATTTCTAGAAAGTTGATGCACTGAGCAGAGGTATTGGAGGTGAAGTTTATGGTTGTATGAAATCAGTTATGGTTATTTGAAATCAAAGAAGTGAATTTAGCTAGATTGTCCCGCCAATGTCCCCATATTATAAATATGTCATCCATGTACCTAATGTACCTGTGAGGTCTCTTCTCAAAACTAGACAGGAATTCGATTTTCAGAATTCTCATCTTCGGGGCATTTAGGGTTCACGCATACTCTGGCTCGTATCTGCCACACGTCTACTGGCCCAAACTGCCCCGTACCGTCAAGCACTATGTCAAAAACTGCCGAGACTGCCAGCGTCGCAAGACTCCGCCCATAAAACCTGCTGGTCTTTTAGACCCTGTGGAGCTACCTCGAGCACAGTTTCAACAAGTTGGACCTGCTAGGTCCATTTCTGAAATCTTCAGCGGGAATAATTGCGACGAACTAGTTAACCCGTTACTGCCAAGCAAGCACTCCAACGCGGTACGGCAAGCGATGTCGCGGATTTCTTCATTCATGCTGTCGTCCTCCGCCATGGTGCACCGCCTGTGGTTCTAACCGACAGAGGCACGACCTTCACTGCCCAACTGCTGGAAGAAGTGATGACACTCAGTGGCACCGTACATCACCGAACGACAGATTATCATCCTCAAGCTAATGGATTAACAGAACTGCTCAATAAGACCATCACAGACATGATTTCCATGTATGTCAAAGTGGACCATAGGAACTGGGACAGTGTCCTCCTTTTCGTAACTTTTGCTTATAACACCGCCGTAGAAAGAAATGCAGGATTTACACTTTTCCGCCTGCTGCGTGGACCGGCGTCGAATAATTCTTTTTGTCTGGGTTCGAGTTCGCCCAGTGATATGTTTCAATCACCAGCTGCTCAAGTTTGTATTCTTTATCACGGGGGTCCAAACACTAGGCAGGAAAAGGTACTGAGAGGCGCAATGATTGCAGCTTTTCAAAGATTCTTGACATCATAGTTTCATACATGTGACACTCTTTGGATGTCTTTATTTTCAAATTCTAGATTCATCCAAAATCATTCTTGAAAGTTGTGGTTTATGCCTGCATGTGCATGGTCTTTTTGACCAAGTTCCTGGGACAATGCAGGTTCATGAGCTGCCACCTGAAAAGCTCAAAATTCGAGAGGTGGATGTCATCGACATTGCCAGTGACCCAGTGTTGCCAAAGGTGAGTGCAGCCCCATGTTGTCCAGAGTACAAGTAGAGGAGAATGTCTTTTTAGCTTGATGCTGTCAGATTACTTGACTACCACTTTAGTGCGAGGCGTGAAATTGGCCGCTGAGTCTCTAAATGCAGCTTGCTTCAGATAATGAGAGAAATGCAGGTTAACCACAATTGTAGCATGTAGGGGAAAGAGAAAAAAGAAATGGTCATAACCGTCCAAAATTATGAGCTTGTGTTCAGCCTTTTGAAACTCTTTCCATCATTATGAAAGCAGAAGCTTTTGAGGCAGAGCATCTAAATTGTTTTCTGTACTGTGCTAAAGGAAGGCAGTATGTCAAAATAATTGTTTTCTGTACTGTGCTAAAGGAAGGCAGTATGTCAAAATATTAACTGTTGGTGTGTGTTGGGGCCAAGCCGGTGCTGCTAAAGCCACAATGGTCTCTTTCTAAATCACCGAGTATTGATGGATGTGACTGCCTCATACATGCTGGCTTTTTAAAATTTCTTGTTGCCCTATTTTGTGTGTGTGTGTGGGGGGGGGGGGGGGGGGGTGCTGGCAATTCCAGGCTGACTCTGTGCCCAGCAGTGCTTGGGTTTTTCCTCAAGTTGCTATTTTCTCTCTGATGTGGTCAGTTCCTTCTGCTCATAGTACTCTCTGCTGAAAAGAGTCCCATTCTTTGTCCATGCTTCCGTTCTGGAAGCTGCCATTGTGATTGCTTTAGATAAGTGCAGCCAGTCTGGTGCAGCCACTTTGCTCTTCTGGCTTGTGGGACCACTCTTTTTAGTTCATTTCACTTTCGCATGAATGATGGCAGCATTATATTGTCCAGCCGAAGTAAGCCGAAAAATTGGTGGGATGTGACTGCTTAGTGAGGCGATACATCTGCGTGACATTGTGAATGACATGCAGAAAAGTGGTCATTATGAAGCTGAATTGCTGGTTTGCTCTTGGGGAAAAAAAATAGTTTAGTAATAAATAGCAGGGTGTGTGAAGATTACAGGTTTTGATAAAATCTACAGCAGGTGCAGGTTCTAGGCCCGCATTAATGACTTTGGAGATAGTTTTGCAAAAAAATATTGTGCTTACCTAAAAAAGAAAAAGTTGGCCTCAAACAACTCTTTTCCACAAATTCTGCAGTTTATCCATTTTCAGGGCACCTCTCTGACAATATTTATTCCCATCAAAGAGCAAGTGAAATATAATCTTATGAGTTTCATCTTTTTCTTCGTTGTCAAAGGAGTTTCACAAGAAAAAAATAAATTCCAAAGATGCTAAATGGCACGAAACACCTGTATCCCAGAAGTTATTGCCATAGACTAGGAAAATTGAGAAAAACTCCGGACATGTTCTCTAATATTTAAGTTTTTTTTTATTGAGAAAGAAATGCACCATTCCTAGTAAAAAAATTGAGTTGATAACTAGTCAAAAGGCATAAAATATTTTTGAAAATACTTTTATCAGGATGATCATTTTTAATTAAGTTCTCTAAGTTTAGAACAATATTACGTGTGGTTAAATGGGCTGGTGGATACATAATTAAGACATGAACAGCATTGGACACGCGATTGGGAAAGAATGATAGATAAAAGTGCTGAACTGACAACCAGTGATTTATTTCTTAGATATGCACTACAGTCAACTTTTGATAATCCAAAGTCGCTTAAAGAGACGCTGAAAAGGTTTTGGCGATTTTGTACACATTGGGGCCGGCAGACCAAGTCCCAAGGGTTATTTAGAGACCGATTTAAGCTCTGAGTAGACTGTGTAATTTATTACGCTTTAAAGCCCTGAATTGCTACAGATTTGTGCATATGGTTGCGACTCAGCCAAACGGGTTTTCAACGACCCATTCACAATGAGACATCCTCTGGACACTTGGCGAGGCCAGAGAACGTCAGCAGTCACATCACCATGGCTGCTGACCTGATAGGTTGTCATGGGCTGTAGAATGCACGGAAGTAAGGTCAGCTGGTAGGGGGGTGGTGCCTGTCGGAGCAGATATGAACTACTTTGTCTCTGGCCAGACAACGTGCATGCTCCCGGGCGCACTAAGTGATGGCCTTCGAGACTGCTCGCAACCTATAGGCGAGCCATCTCTGAGGTCTAGACTGGTAAGAGCTCAAATCGTCGAGCGTGCTCATGAGAGCTCTACGATCGCCAGCGTGCCTCAAAAGTTGAGGAGGCCAGGCACAGTTGAAAAGGAGGGTATAATTATTCGTTGTGGCCCTGGTACACAGCATGTAACTAAATTTGTGGTGTGAATGGTTTGTCGATGCTGTAGCTTACACGCTGCCAAATCTTTAGAAAACTGTTCAGGCACTCTTTAATTGGAATTTTTGGTCATCAGTTTTGAGTGCGTGCTTATAGGAAAAAATTCTCGATAATTGGAAGTCAAGTCCGTAATGTTGGCTGATTTTAATGGAGAATTTTTAATGGAGAACCTTGAGGCGACCACAATTTTTCAATAAGAGGAAAATTTATGTGCTAGACGACTGTTGTCGCCGTCGCCACTGCCCGCAGTGCCGCAGCCCATGAAGCGGTAGTCATGTTTAGTCAATGTTGGAACATAGCATTGATCACATAGGCTTACTAAGTCTTCTTTTGTGATTTGTTGAGTGCTTCAGCGGCACATGGGGTTGACTCGTGGTTGATTCCTATAACGGTGTAAGAAAAATAATTGAGGTGTAGATACTTCGCCCCACGGCGTGTCAAGATAATGCTAGGCGCTTTCAGTCCCTCCAGTCCTTATGTCGCAGGGCCCCCATGCGACTGCGGCTGGTGCATGCACTGTAAATGACGAGCTACGTACGTAACGTCCGTAATATTATGCATATGGGAGAACACCGTGGAGGCAACTGCAGCGTTTGCGGCACGTAGTGTTTTTCGGTCTCAAAAAACGTCTGGACACGGTCTCCATTCAGCGGGCAGAAAGTGTCCACACCTAAATTAGTTTTCTTACACCTTGATTCCTACTAAATTGGAACAGAGCAACAGGACACAAAGCAGAACATGCAAACACACACACACACACAGCACTATTTACATTTTATTTTTGCGTGTTCCTCTCTGTCTGCATCCAGTTGCACTGTTCTAACTTAGCATGATAAACCAACTAGCCCGCCATCGCAATTTGGGTTCTGCACGTGTTTTCACATCTGATAATCGAGTGCGTGATGATATTTGATAATGGCAACTCGTGGCGCGAACTGAACACTTGTCTTGGCAACGAAAGTCAAATTTCGAAGTCGACTGAGGAGGCACTGCCAAGCAAGACATTGCACAAAAGTACGACGTGAAGCCTAACACGCTTTGAAACGTCATCAGGTGCAAACAGGAACTCGACGACGTAAGTTTTGGGGCTGCTCTTAGTAAAGAATTTTGAAAAATTTATTTTGAAGAATTCATCGCCGTGGTCAGCAGCGTCGATAAGTGTTGTCCAATAATTACGTACAGCCACATTTTGGAGATGGTTCGGCTAGAGGACAAAGACATCAGAAACGAACTGCCACTGAGGTTTACCAATGTTGCTCAGGGTCTTCCTCTGCGCAGCGTTTCCTGTGTTCTATTGAAGAAAACGATGCTGAAGTAGCACATGTGCAGTGCTTGGAAAACTTGCTAGTCGCAGCCAGGTTCAGCAGGAGACGATGACAAATTATTTTTTCAACGAACTGTCAGGTTTGAAGTAATAAAGGTGCAGTTTTTTGTGCCTTTTGCTTAATTGGAAGTTCGTTCAATTCGAAGTTTATTGCAGTTCTCGCGAATTTTGTTTTAATGTAAGTTGACTATATACACAGAAGCATTGCACTGAACAAAAAACAAAGTAACCCCACAATTTGCAAAGAGAGAGATAAGAAGTCATATCAGACTCGGCGGCCATATAGGCTGTCAGGTTTCAGACTAGTAACGTATTTCACTAATTTCACAGTTATGTGTACAAATTGATTGAACCCTGAGGGAAGCATTCTCGTGTGCATAAATGTGGTAAGCTTCATTAACCTCCAGTGTTCTTTACTGTCTACATTTCCAAAATGATGCACCACACGAAAATTGGCTGACAGCTGCATGCCTTGCAGTTAAGTGGAGACGCGGGTTGAAAAGTCGCAGTTTTCCGAAAAGTTTTTGCTTTCTTTTATTGGTTGCATTGGCATCCTTTGACTATGATCTTTCACTTCTGAAAATATCAAGCTTAAATTCGCATGAGAAATGATCTAAAGATGTTTCCAAGTGGAGAGCGGTGACGTGAGAAATGCGCGAAAGTCTCCAAAAATGGCATAGTTTGCGTTGTCCTGTCGCAAAAACGACATGTTGGCGGCCATTTGCAATCGTGCACGCATGCTGCGAAGGGCTTCCCCTTCACAATCCACTAGTAGCCAGTATTGTATCTTCACGAAGAATGAACCAAAAACAAGAAAAAAGAATGCATACGTTATGCATTTTGAATATCGCGGCAAGCAGCGCGAGGACACCATTGGTCAGCGGTGCGCTGTGCCTCCTCCCCCTTATATCTTTCCGGCAGAAGAGCAAAGCCTCGGACGTCGCGATCGAGTTGATCGCTGTTTTTCTGCAGTTTTGCGTCATGGCAAGCCCCAAGAAGTGCTGTCTAGATTATCGAAAGTTCAGAACTCGCCCCAAGTATCGAGGGAAACAGGCATCGGACGCTTTCCAAAGCGACAGCAGACGCTGATGTCACCGCTGACCAACGCACCGACTTCGAATAGGCCTAACTGATCCCGAACCCCGCGGCGACAGTGGTTGTGAAATAGCCGCTGCCGTGGAACTCGTCAGTGCATCCCAAATGAAGAGTGGATTCTTCGAGAGTGAACGTTGAACGTAGACCAGGAGGTGCTCCTACTGCCAACACACTGCTTTGCGAAATCGATGCGCTGACTGCCCTTGTGGCGAGTGCGCAATGCCCAACTTGACGCGAACGGGGACCCTGCGTCCGAGGTAGCTGGAAAGCGCAAAGGGCTTTTGGCATTCCTCGAACTGTGCTGTGAAAATGC